CGCACATCGTGGGACATACACTCGAAATCCCTGAGATGAGGTAGGCGTGGCTGCGTACTTCAACTAAACGTCGTGGTGGCTATGCTTTTGGAGAGATATTTTCATTTTGACCCAAATGTGGTCACGTCTCTGTCCAACAAAGAACAAGATGGCGGTTGTCTCAAACGAGTAACCAGTTCTGTGCCATGTTCGAATGCCACGCCTACCCGGTCTCAGGGATAAGAAGTATACCTGAGTGATGTAGAATGAAATATTCCTTGCGACATCCCTTGATGAGCAGGAAGAGACCTTCCTCGCTGTCACCGCCCTCGTGTGAAGGTGAAGCCATTCACTATCACCAACGAGTTCATTTAGGCTTACGGTATCAGCTTGAGGCAACTGGGCAATTTGTCTGTTGATTCACCTAGGATGACCTTAGGTTTCTGGACATCGTCGCTCTATACTAGAAATGGTGGTCCACGCTGTGTGAGAAAAAGATGAAAATCGAAGTGTGAATAATATGAAGAACACGGCACGAAGCGTCGCTTTGCCGCACTCTGGAAACACAGGGATCAAAATCAGCGTCCAAAGTGGATGCTCAGACCATGCAACTACCTCGTCTGAGCGCCTAAGCGTGCGAGATAAGCCGTTCTTGTGCGTGTCATGAGCGAACTGTCGGGGCGGTTCGGCGACGGGGAGAGGCATTTTGCGCTTCCGCTGCTTCCCATCGACGTGCCCATCCACTTAGAGAGCCTTTTCGTGAGTTGAAGGGTTTACCACGGTGACTCAACAAGCTTGCTCCACCTTCACAGAAGCTCACAGGTTTCAGCAGAGTGAGACATGTAAACCGGAACTAGTGCAGCGAGAGTGCAGCGAAAGTGCAAAAGGCCTCCCTCCCCCGTCGCCGAAATGCGCCCGAACTGTCTTTTCTTGCCCCTCCACCCTATGTTGCGAGAGGCAGGTCGCCTTAGCTTACTAGCCACTAACGTAAAAACAGGTGCAGAGCGACCCTCCTGAATGTGCACGCTCCTGCTGGCACATCCACGCGGCGCGCAGTCCGACCAATCGA